ATCCTGTGTAGTCCTGTATTTTGTTTTATAGTTTAGTTGTTCGGTGTTGAGAAAGTTTTGATTCACACAGAGAATTAGCTACAAATAGCAGACTTTTTTTTTAACTACTATGTTTTTTCTTCTTTCTAGAGATGTGGCATATATGTTTTCTGGTCAGTAATGTTCTATCAAACATTGTACTAAACCAAAGCCAGATAGATGGCCAGTAGAGCTGTACTGCCCCCGACTCACGCTGAGCTGGACCAGTGGAACACCATCTTGGTAGGAGAGATTTTGAAAAGAAGAAGGAAGTGAAGTCATCTTTTTTTAAATCAAACTCTCACCCACCACCCCAACAGAAAACTTAACAAACTGAGTTATACAGAGAGGATTTTAAACAAACCTTCACAAACACACATAACATGGGATCAGGAAAGGACACCTTCTAGTTTACATCCAGCGCACAGCATCCATTTGTCAGTGCCCAGAAAACAGGAAAGCCAAGGTAGAAAACATTTTTGCCTCCACAGCACTAACAACAAAAAGCACACAGCATATAACACTTTGATCTTTAAGCGGGTAATCAAAGAAATTCAAAAAGTAGATCCACTAGGTTAACCTGAATATTCATCTATAAAAATATTTTTTTTTTTCACAAAATAATGCTTAAAAGAGGCTTGTAGACACAGTGAGACTACTCCAGGAGGGCAGAAGACAAAGTGATAAAAGGACTGCCAATGTAACACTAGGAGGTGGTTTCACGGGTAGCTTTTAGTCGAGTACCTCTCTTTCCATTGATTCCCATCGCCAAGACCAGCTGTGACGATAGGAGCTTCAGAAATCCCACGGCCGGGGCAGCTGGTTCGAGTAACACCCTAGAGAAACACTCCCACACTGTCCTCACACAGCGGGGCCGTTGGATCTGAAGGACTGAAACTCTGACCCAAGTGAAAGAGCTGAGAGGACATAGAAAATCTGTGCCAAGCCTGCTGTGATATTTGGGACACAAAATGTTCGTGATGGTGGGTTATTCCACATTTCTGACACGCAGACATGTCTGCTGGGGGAAAGGGTCCCCGGGTGGAAAGCTCGACAATGGATTGTTTCCGAAGCAGAAGCAGCTGAGAGAGGTGTCTGCTCTGGGAGGAGTCCTGAATACGAGGTGTTTCAGGGTCAGGTAATTTTCTTATTGACTCATCAATAATTAACATCAATGAAGAGCTGCAGGATAGGGTCAGTCTTTCCACAACGTGTCCTCCTGTTATCATTATCCGAAGTCTCTCCTGGCCTGTTGGGTCAGGGATGTTTAGAATAATCAATCCCTTTGTCTGGAGGTGGGAGTTGATGCCACACATTTTTCTGAGAAGCTGGCATGGAAGATGATTGGCACTACAAAGTCACCACTGAACCACTGTTGATGTCTAGTCCTTGGCCTTCTTCTTCTGCCCTGTAGTCCGGAAGCATGTCTTTAAAAGCTGAAACACAGTGAATACGCACCGCTCGTGAAGCACATCCCCAGCGACCTCCTCTTGATGTTGCTGGGACGGCCACCATGTTGAATACGAGGATCTGCTCCAGTAGCTCTTTTATTTTTTTTGTGCGAGGAAGATCAGCCCTGAGCTAACATCTGTTGCCAATCCTCCTCTTTTTGCAGAGGAAGACTGGCCCTGGGCTAACATACAAGCCCATCTTCCTCCGCTTTATATGGGATGCTGCCATAGCGCGGCTTGATAAGCGGTGCGTAGGTCGGCACTTGGAATCTGAACCCACGAACCCCAGGCCACAAAGCTGAGTGTATGAACTTAACCATTTTGCCACTGGGCCAGCCCCCTGGTAGCTCTTTTTTAATACACTTTTCTACCAAAGAAATACATTCGTTAAAAGTAGACATGTAGATGAGTTGATTCTCTTCTGTGTTTTCAAACTCCTGGTAGTACTGGCCCACGAAATTTCTATGTAACAACTAGGACCTGGCATCCATGATAACGTCCTCTGAATATCCAACTACAGCTTCAGATTCTACTTCAGAAGTGACAGAGATGTGGCGTGAACCCATGGGCCTCCTGCTGTGCCTGCAGTCGGGCTCAAACTCTGCTGTGCTCGCAGAGCCCCAACCTGCCTTCAGGGCATGTTAGTGGTCGGCGAGGAGGCCTCAACGCCTGGGCCGTGGCCTGCGCGGGCTCCAGCCAGGTCTGTGCCCCTCCGTGAGGCCCTGACCTCCCGCTCCTCAAGCTGCTGCCCTCCACCCAGCTGAATCTACCACCACCGCCACCGCCTGCAGATGTTTGTGTTAACTTCTTTCTGAGGAATCGTAGGATATTTGACAAATTAAACTGATCAAGCAGCTTGAAAGGCTTGTGTAGATCCTTGGGTCAACTTAGAATCCCCATTATTTAGTATTTTATAACATGATTTAATTGTTAAAGTAATAACTATCCTTGTGAGTTTCAAAGTTGCCCGACTTCTTGTGTTTTGGACCCCAACTTTGAGTGTCGGATTCATTGTAGACACTTCATCTGCAGTGAGAAGTGTGGTAACACTGTGACCTGTCCAACAGAACTTAATCACATTTGGAGGGGAAGCCCCCAAACCCTTCAGTCACCCTAAATGGACATGGGTGCATTGTGCTGTGTTCGTATTCACCTGGTGTTACACACCTGGCTTGACACCTTGATGAGCAGGTGATGACACTTTGATGAGACACCTTGATGACATTTGCACTGAGCAGGTCTATTCAGCATTTACTCGAGGATGCTAGGCACATATTTTGCCCTAATATACCCACTTGAACAATTTTATGAGGTAAACATGCCCAAGCCAAGCCTGCTTTTTTTTTAAAAAAAGAGCACTTTTAATCATTATAATCAATCTAATCAGTGAGCCCATTTTCCAGACGTTCAGTGGTAAATATAGAGGTGGCAGAAGAATCCTTCCTTGGAGGGCCGCATCGACATGAGTTAACATAGGAGTGCACAGCAAAGCACTGGGAGGCTCCATGGTGCTATGGTTTGGTATCTGAGACAATTGAGTGTGTGCTTCTTTGTGTTATGGCTTTGCAAAATGTAGACATACATTTAAAGATGATATTTAAGTCAGAATTTTGCAGCACCTCAAACACCACCATAGATTAAAAAACCACTGGTGTAGAGGAAAAGGGACTCTTGAACTGAATCCTGGCTGCTGCTTGTTAGCTATAGGAACATGATTCCACTTTAAAATCTCAGTTTTCTCATTTCTCAAAGGGGGCAGCCATTCCGTGGGGTGGATGTATTGATTCAATGAACAGTGTGTGTAATGTATATACCACCAAGGTCTTGCATGCAGAGGGCACCCAGCAAATACTAACTCGTCTCTCCCTAACTTTCTAAAATCCCAATTTCATAGAATACGGGTATTGCTAAGGACGTGAGACCTGAAGAAGAATAACCCCAAGTCACGTTTGCTATCAGCCTCCCATGAAGATCAGGCAAATGTTGTGTTCACGAATGGTGGCTGTCAGCCCTGACTGCGCATGAATCACATAGGGAGTTTTGAAAAAGTGCTGAGGCCTGGACCCCACTCTTAGAGATTCTGATCTAACCAGTCTGGGATGCTGTCTAGGCATCGGCATTTTTTAGAGTTCTTCAGGTGATTTTGATGTGCGATCAGCGTTGAGAACCACTGCTCTAGACAGAAGAGCCATCCATCCTTAGCATTCTACCATGGTCTTGGTACAACACCCCAGTCTCATTTTGTCTCCTCCCCTAGCCCCTGCAGGAGTGTAATTTGTTCTCAAAGTTATTGCTGTGGCCATGGTAAGTGCTGCCATCCCTGGCAAGGTGCCACAGCCACCATATGCCGCACCATGTGCCTCCCCTTCCCTGCTCTGCTGCTGCCTCTACAGCTCCTCCCTGAGCTCCTGAAGCAAGATGCTCCGCAAATTCACTGAATGCCTTGAGGAAAATTCCAAGTGCTCCTTTAGGCTAAAGCAAAACCTGGCATCCTACAGTGCAGAGGGAACGTGCTTAACACACTTCTGCTGACTCTGCAGGGAGAAGTGACATAATTTGGAATGAAAGAGAAAAGGCTACTGGGTTTTACATAGCCTTAAAACAGGAAAAGACGGCAGACAATTCATAGCTGGCCAAAGATCCCCCACCCCCACCCCACTGCCCCACTCATTCATGAAATGTTTTCTGAGCTGAGCTCGAAGACAAGGGCATTTACTCCTCTGCCTCCAAGAGACAGAGGAGCCTTCATGGAAGAGGTGCTGTTCGATCTGGGTTTGGAGGAGGTGTTGGAGGTGGTTTGGATGTTGGAGGACACATGAATAAAAAGAAAGAGTGATCAGCATGAGGAAAAGCGTGGAGCTGAACTGTCACATTGTGCGTATAGAAATCATATCACGTGGGAAAGAGACTGGGAGGCCAATAGTGCATGGGTCAGAATGGGTTAGGTTATGGTGCAGTAACAACTAGCCTCCAAATCTTAGTGGCTTAACACAACACATGTCTATTTCTCACCTGTGCCAAAGATCAATCATGGGTCAATGGCGGGGGGAGGGGGAGTCTTCTCTAGGTTGTCCTGACTGAGGGAGATGGACCCTCTACCACTTGGATCATCATCCTTCACTGTGGCAAGGGGACGGGAAAATGATGAATGAACTGGATTTTACAAGCTTCCACCTAGAAGTGACAAATAGCACTTCCACTCACATTTCATTGGCCAAAGCCAGCCACACGGCCATGTGTAACCTAAAGACAGCAGGAAAGTACAATCCTCCCATAGGACCAAAAGGAGAGGAAGTGGAAGCGTTGGCGAATATCTTTAAAGACTACCACAGGGAGGAAGGTCTTAATATCTCACTAGGGAGCTTGGATTTGACCTTGAAGGAATAGGGGAGCCAGCCAACGTTTGTATGTAGGAGAGCCATGGTTAGGACTGAGGTTACATGGAAGTGGGCTGGAGAAGAACACTTATTCCTTTGCCCTGCAGAGTCTTTTTCTCTCTTTTTGCTTTTTAGATCTGTCTGCCTGTGTAAGAGGCACAGTATTTATCTGCTCTCTGCTTTTTGGTGAACTTAGTAGGAAAGACTGCCCTCCCACCATTTACCCTGCAGTTTTGAGGGTCAGTACAATTCAGGGGATTATTGTCAGCCTCCTTGCTCGCAGGTCTAAGCCGTGTCCTCCAGCCTAGCTTTTATCAAAAAGAACAACACTGATGTGTTTATTGCCATCTGACTCCTGAGCCTATTTCTCAAGTAACTGGTGCCTAATTCACTGAGAAAGAAAGGGACTTTCTTTAGACACCCCCTCAAACCCCAGCATGGATTAGAAAGAGAGCTGAAGAGGAAGGTAGACCAGTAAGAAGGTGTGCACAGAGGCCAGACAGGGAAAATGATAAAAACAGTGTGGAGAAAAGGAAGAATTCAAGAGAGAGATTTCTGACTGAGTGGAATGTGGGAGAGAAGAGCAGGGGCCCAGGAGCCAGGCTACCTGGGCTCCAATCCCAAAGGGGTGGGAATAAGACCTTGGGCAAGTTACTATATCTTTCTCTGCTGCGTTGACCAACTCTGCAGAATGGGAGCAATATTAGGAGAACCCAAATTATAGCATTCTTGTGAGAAATAAATGAGTGAATCCTGCCCAGGGGTTTAGCATGGTCTCTGACATATTAAGTCCTCGATAAACAGTTGTGACAAATGTAGTTTTGCATATAGAAGTTACCACCGGTTCAGGTTGAAAGTGCATGAAGATACTTGGGCTCCTGACTTCAGCTTGTCTCCTTGTCTTTTTCTTCTTGCCCCTAAAATCAAATTCCTGTTGATAAAGAGATTGGATGACTCAGTCCAGATGATTAGAGATAACGTATTTCTTGATATCTTTCTGCCCCTTGTACCTTGTGTGGTTCAAATTCTATTTGTCCTTGGAACTTTATTAGACTGTTTCTTATTTTCATTCTCACTAGGCTGGTTTTCATTATCATTATAAATTCCAGTTCCCTCAACCTCCTCAGGTTGGCTTGGGTCGTAATCTCCCCGTGGGTCTGCAGTTGATTCTGATGGCATTTACTAATGGTAGCGGCTCGGGGGGCCAAAGTATGATGACTTGCAGGGTATTCCATGCCCTAGACTGGAGGCTAGCATGCATTTTATAATATTCTCTTAATGCAGCTGGAACCAGATTTATTTTTACATCAGAGTCTTCATTTTAAAAATTGTATGGAAATTTACCTTTGTGGAGGGAAATTTTTCTTTAATTCATATATCTTGGTCATAGTTTGTGTTCGAGAATGCCCTTACAGACGCAAATCTGAGATTATGACTAACAGCTAGCATTCCATTTGTGAGGCTGGAATTAATTTTGTGGGGTACTTAGGTTGAGGTCCCTGGAGGAAGATTCTGAGATGGAGTTTGTGTGCCGGAGGTATATTGAGCAGTGCTCTCAGGAGAAAATTTGCAAGGAAGTGAGGGAAGCTGGATTGGGCTGAGAGGGAAGTGAGGCAGTTACAATAGAGGCTTTAGGTAATCCCACAGATTGGGAGCTGGGATGGCCTTGCAGAGATGTCCTGAATTGAAGCAAGGGGTCTTTGTACCCCCACATTAATCAGTAGTTAGATATGGTCTGTGTTAGGGAAGAGGACAAGATATCAGGTGAGATAGTTCCTTTCAGTTGAGGGCAATTCCTGGGAGGGGCACACATATGAGGCCTCACCAGCCACCATTGCCAGATAGGGGGCAATGAGTGCCTTGGTCCTGAAGGGAGGGCCTGGGTGGTGCACCCCAGTACACATTATGTGGGGTATGTCTTAATAATTATAACATCATTGGAACTGCTAAGAAGTGTTGGCTGAATTCTTTTTCTCTGTGTGCAATTGTATTAGTTTCCTAAGGCTGCATAACAAAACACCACAAACTTGGTAGCTTAAAATAACAGGAATTTGTTGTCTCACAGTTCCAGAGGTTAGAAGCCCAAAATCAAGGTGTCAGCAGGGCCACACTGTTTCTGAAGGCTCTAGAGGAGGATCCTTCCTTACCTCTCTCCGAGCTTCTGGTGATTGCTGGCAATCCTTGGTGTTCCTTGGCTTGTAGAGGCATCACTCCAATCTCTGACTCTGTTGTCACATGGCATTTTCCCTGTGTGTCTCTGCGTCCAAATTTCAGTCTTCTTATAAGGACATCAGTCATTGGATGAAGTTGCATCCTAATCCAGTATGACCTCATCTTAGCTTGGTTAAATTTGCAAAGGCTCCACTTCCAAATAAAGTCAGAATCTATGTGCTGGGGGATAGGACCTCAACATATCTTTTTAGGGGACACAATTCAATCCATAACAGCTGCTCTTTGAGCAGATATATTAATTCGTCTGCACATCACCCCATCTTGCTCACAGAGGCATCATTAAAGATGATATCTCCACTTCCACTGTCTTTTTCAGGTCTCACCATCTCTCTCCTGGACTACTATAACAGCCTCTCTGCTGTTCCCCCTCCAGTTCCTCTACCCTCCTCTTTACCCCAAGGGACCCTCCTAAGATTCAGTCTTTTGTTTTTTGGTTTTTTTTTTTGTGAGGAAGATTAGCTCCAAGCTAACATCTGTTGCCAATCCTCCGCTTTTTGCTGAGGAAGATCTGCCCTGGGCTAACGTCCGTGCCCATCCTCTTCTACTTTATATGGGATGCTGCCACAACATGACTTGATAAGCGGTGCATTGGTCTGTGCCCGGGATCCAAACCTGTGAACCCTGGGCCGTGGAAGTGAAGCACGCGAATTAAACTACTACGCCACTGGGCCGGTCCTAAGCTCAGTTTTGATTGTGTAACTTTGCTGCTCAAAACCCATCAGTGGTTTTCAGTTACTAACATTATGAAATCTACACTCTTTAGTTTGATATTCAAGGTCTTGTGTTACCTGACCCTGCTGACCTAAGCAGCCTCATTTCTGAGTCGTGTTTGCTTTGCACTTTACACTTAAAAATATTAAGTTGCTTGTGTGTGCCTAGCATGTGATACTCACTCAATAAATGACAGTTCTCTCTCCCACTCCACAGTTTACAAAAAGACTTTTCTTCTCCAATGATCTAATGGAATTCTCGCAATCACCTGGTGGTGTAGGTATTTTCACAGGCAATAGATGTGGTTGATGAGGATGCTGAAAGTCAGAGAGGAGAAATACCTAACCAGTTAATGCTGAAGCCAAGAGTCACACCTAGATTTCTGATTTCTAGTACAGGATCCTTTTTGGTACGTTGTTTCTGTGCAGTCCACACTTAACAAACTTGACCTTCCATAAATTTAGACTTGTCACCTGTTTCTCATACTATCTGTGCAAGCTGCAAAGATTGAATTTAGGGGACAAATCTCTTCTATATTACACCAGAAACAGAAAAAGTTGTGGAGGAAGAAATAGATTTTCCCAAGTTGAGAATACAGTGAACATTTAGGATATAATAAAAATGGATTTGGGGTATGAGAGACTGCACTGCTCTCATAATCTCTCTGTTATAAAAAGATTGATGCATATCAGTAAATGTCCCCTTGCTATATATCAGAAAGGCCAGAAAGGCCCCAGGAATTGAATAAAAGCATCAGTTTATGTCTATGTTTCTTTAAGATACAGCTGTGTGAGGCAGAGGTGCTATGCCAGGTGTTACAGAAGTTTCCATGGCAACTTCATCTTTATTTTCCTTCCTGAACAGCACTGTTAAATGGTGTCTTTGAGGCAACACCCATTTGAGATTCTCCATCTTAATGGTTCTGTTCCAGTGTAAGCTCCATTTACCCATGTCCAAGTAGTGAGGAGAACTGAACAATTTCTTGGGGAATTGGGAAAATATAGACCTTTCAGCTGATTTGGACTAACTATCCACCTTGTCCTATTATAACTATTATTACCGGACTGATCTTCTGCTAACTTTAACTTTCAACTTGGTTTTTCTTTGGTAGAAGTAGCTGAAGACACTTTAGATCTGTACTCTCATGAAGGAGACATTTCTAGAAATTATTTCCAGAAAAACCAGAGAAGATTGTCAGGCAAATATGAGGTAGAAAGTATTGCAACATTTGAGCAGCCAAGAGGGTATATCTAGAAAACCTGAGTGAGACTAGATGTGAGTGTAGTTAGGTTTCATATTTCACAGGCCACTGGGAGGGGCTGGAATGGACTACACTTGATAACTGATCTCAGAGTCTTGGCTGGTGCTGAAGTGCACATACTTTGTGACAACACCATAGGAGAAAAACTTGGCAACGGACTTCTCGATGAGAAAGACCTTCCACAAAGTTCTGTTTGCAGGCAACCGCATGCTGTTCTTCCTTTCAATGCTTTCTTCTAAGACTGGCCCTGAAATTAGTCAGTGTTTTATAACTGAATTGCAGCCATCAGCCTTCAGGTGGGACAAAGACAGTGGACAGGGCCATGGATGAGGAACCAGGTGACCTGATTCTTGTTAGAACTCAGTCACTCATTAGTTGCGTGGCTTGGATAAGTCACTCAACTTTCTTCATTTATAAAATTGAATTGATATTTGTAGACTCTGACCTTTTAAAGTAGCAGCTGCTCTGAACATTAAGAGATTTCCATCCAAGGATATCTACTGGCATTTATCTTGTGGGCGGACAAACGATCATCTTATCAGAGGTATTCATTCATTCAGAGCGGTGGAGCAGTGATTTGTGCTTGCATAATGAAGTCCAGCAGACCTGGGTTTGACTTTACCTCTTTAAGCCTCAGCATTCTCATTTTTAAGTTGGGGTCAAGAATAGTACCTACCATAAGGGGTATTGGGAAGGTTAAATAAGATAATACACATAAAGCAAGTAGCCCAGTGCCTGGCTCATCACAGGTGCTCAATAAATCTTTGTTGAATACATGCATGGAAATGTTTATGGAGTAGCTACTTCATTCAAGGCTCTTTTTGGGGCATTGGCGCTAGAGAGGGCTCAGACATAATCCAAGTCTTAGTGGATGAAGAAAACACAACACACTAATAAGTGGCCTAGTCGTTGACCACAGCCTGCAGCATGGGCATTTAGCTTGTTTGCAAATGTTATTAATA